CCCCCCCCCCCCAATCCTCTCTCGCGATAAAGATATTCCATCATAAGTGGGTTATCTGTAAAATAATCCCTTACCTAATTGAAGGGATTTAATGAAAGCATTTATTTGTAATTTTGAGATAGTGGTGTAATATTTTTAGCATATACCCGCCAAACATCCGATCAACTACTTTCACTTTAATTAAAAACTAGTCAATTAATGAACGAGAAGACACGAGTTTCAGAATCGCAGATGTTAAAACACGGAATCCCTACATAAAGACCTGAAAGTATACCGTTATTTTTATTGGATCTAGACACTACTCGACAGAATTATGTACAGATTCCTGTAGGGTTGGAATACCAATAGCTGATTTAACTTCGGACTGTAACGGGGTGTGCGATAGACTTACCTCCACGTGGTGCACCCTGGGCAACGTATACTCATACGGCAAAAAAGTCTATAAACTGGCAGTTGACTTCTGACTTCAAAATACCATGGCCCCACTGTATGCCATATTCGACCACTTTCACAGTACTCATTTTAACTTTTTCTTTGCCTTTGTGCCTGTCTGCCTCTTTTACATCTGTGAATCGCTCTTCTGCTCCCCTTCCTCGACTTTCTGCAACTTCCCTCTGTGAAGCCCGAAGTCAACTAAAGGGCTAATGATAGCTATCAAAACGCCTGCCATTTGAAATAAATAAACTTCGGACTGTAACTGTAGGTCGGTGGTCAGAAGGAAAGATTGATATGGAAACTTTGGTGTAACGTGGTTAATCAAATCGAAGGGATAATGTCGTATATTTGTGGGTGGAAATCGAAAAAAGGTTCAGAAGAACAATATTTGGCAAATGAAAGAAGAATAAAGCAGTATGTAGAAACGGAAAGCTTTTGAAGAGCTATTACCAAGACAAATCAATTTTATCTCAGTGATTCACTTGAACACTGGTCATAATGAGTCTGTCCAATTGAGTTTAAGGAAAAGTGCTTAAAGAGAAAAGGTAGCTTAAAGTAAGTAATAAAAAATGTCAAAAATTATTTGGAATTTAGCTTTAACGCCATCATGATTTCTTATGTTCCATATAAAAATCTCACGTGTAAATTGATGTTTTTAACACCTGGAACATTTATTGGGTGCTTACAATAGGTAATTGGCCAATCACAACACGTACATTGTATCCAATAGTCAAGGCATTAACTGAAAGCTAAGTGATCAGGTCAAGATGATCCCTAATAATCTGCTAATAAACCACTTTACTCTTTCCGTCACAAGTAACTATGACATCTTATTAATAAGAATTAGTGAAGATTTCATCATTTATCAGACTTTACCTTAGGCACTGATCGGAAAGTAATTACCGTTCTGCGCCAACTATTGGCCATATTTGCTTGTCTTAATTGAGATTTACATCTCCATTAGCCTTATTTACTATTCAGGGCGACAGTTTATAAGTGTTATGTAAACATCGATGCATGATATGTGAAACTCAATGGAACAAAACACTGGAGTCAGTTGTTCCCGACTAACAGCCAATAAGAGGCATTTCATTCTTTCCAAGATTTACACGCACCTGAAATTCCAAACGGAGTTTTGTGACGATAATTGATTATTTGAGCTGAATATAATAATATCCAATTTCGCTGATTGATGGTTATCTCTTTAGGTTACAACCACACCTTCAATTGAGGCTCTCATCAGCCTATCTCAATTGTGGTCGGCTTTTTGTAAATATTTTGTGATTTGTGAAGCACCTTAGACTGCATTCAGTTTTGAAATTGCCCCAACAAGAAATATTCTCTCTTCTTATTTTGGTTGGATTAGGGATGACTGGGGACTTAGCAGTCTCAGACTTAACGCTTTGGACGTCAAAGTTAACGTGTCGCGAGATATTCGACTAACATTCAACAGACATTGAATCGGTAAAAATTGAATCAGGCAAAGTATTAGCTTAGTGGTGATCCATTCATTCTGAAATAATTTTATATTTTATTTGTTTATCATCGACTCTGGTTACATTGGGTAAATTCAATTTAGGTTAGCTATCTGTTAAAATTTGACTTCGTTTTAAACAAAAATTGTTTATGAAAATGGACGTTCTGGGAGTGGTAAATTCGAAAGCTCAACTTCCTTATGGTCATATATTTGAGCTCTCAGCGTCCTGTTAGATTCATGAATGTAGTTAAACTATTCATTTTGTCTTTACGAATTCTTCACCCATAAGGCCTACTCCAACACTCCGGGTTCGATAAAACATCTCTTCTGCTCTCTTATTTCCATCTTATATCGGACAACTCCAACAGCCTTGCCCCCTAACCAACTTCCATCTGTGGCCATACAACATACAATGGTCTAACTGTAGCGAGCACCTCAAGTAGACTACCTTAGCAACCTTCCAGGCCCGATGAACACCTTTGATTTCAATATGGATTTAGAGTCAAAAGATCAATTAAATTGGATTTATAGGTGGTTTTGATCATTTCAGACCATGTAAAAGTCGTGCATATCATCAGAACTATAATCAAGATAGGTACTTTGGGCTCCATTAACAAGGATCTCGGTCACTCATTCGCCAAATAACCGGATTAGAGGCGCATGCCGCCAAACCCGACCAGTGGGAGTACTACTTGACAGTGTAACTTGAGAGAGCCCTAGGCCTAATGAAGCTGGTTCTCAAACGAAATAGGATTTGCCGATATTCCATCCTACACTTCAGCTCTCCCAGTTCTAGTAAAATGCTTTTTTCCTTACTTTCAATAACATTAACTTAAGAAAATGGTAAGAATCTTGTTTCAGATAATTAAATTAACTAATCGCAGAAAGTGTAAACGCAGTCAATCTTATAACAATAAACAAGTGTTGCTTTGGTCTAAGCAGCGCTGTTTCTGAAAATTGTGCGATAATCTTGGTTAGAAACGACTAAAGTGATTAACTATTAAAGAATAGACTAGAGGAATTAAAACTGACCTCGGTACACTAAAATGAGAGAATTTTACTCAATCAGTAAAAGTTAACTCTAATTTAAGAATAATGAAGAATATCCTACAGTTGATTGTTTTAGTAGTCTTTTGTGACATCCACAAACTCAAATAAACCCTCAATGATCAAGACCGTTCAAGCATCTAGAATGGTGTTCTTATTAGAGGTTTCACTTGCTCCCCCAAATTGATTTTCTGAAGTCACCACCCTGCTCAAGTCTCTTTGAGCATTGCCCTGATAATCGAGTTACATATTAATTTATCTTAATCCTGGCAAAAAGGGCAACGTTTCAATAAGTTTCCTACCGATAATTTGCCCTACTTTTCCTGTTATTCAGAAATCAATAAATTAATACGAAATCTTGCCCACCTAGTGAGGTTAGCACTATTTGAGTTTGAACGGTCTATACGATCGAAGTAATTCAAATCTTATTTATCGACGTAATATATATTCATGTACCTAAGTCTAAAATAGTCGAACCATATATTTTCAGACGTTATTTATGTCCAATTTCCACCTTCCTAATGACAGCTTGTTTACACTGAACGCCAAAGTAATTTATTTTCACTGTTTTCCCAGTCCAATAGAGAGAAAAAAACACGAGCAAGCCACCATTAATTTCATACGTACATACATACATATCCATATATATCTATATATAGAGATATGTATATACATATATAGATATACATATGTATATATATGGAGAGACAGAAGGAGGGGCAGGAGATAGATAGAGCAGACAGGATGATCAATCGATCGATAAGATCAAAGGTGGGGAGAACAGTTTGTGCTTGTGCCTCATTCTTCTTCGAAATATTCGAAGAACAAGAGTGAAAGAACCAAAGCAAGATAAGAGAAAAGGTTTTAACTACTCAATAACTAGAGGGAAGTTAGCAGGAGAGAAAAGGAAAAGACCAAACACACACACACATCCAGTTTCAAGAATTCATCTAAGTTGGGATCAAAAAATCACACATCTAATGAGTAGGAGGGGGATTTTTAATCACTTGAGCATATCTCTTTTAGACAACGATTGCGTTAGAAGGGCAAGAGGATGATGGTCAGAGAGGTTTTGTTCTTCTTATTCTAACAGTAGGAATGGATGACCATTGAGAATTTAGCAAAATACAGATAGATAATACGCACAGCAAAACTGCTCCTAGAATGTTATTTTGAGAGAGAGAGAGATAAATACACGCTCGTTCGCATATAAATATGCCGAAACGAGAAAAGCTCCGATGTCATTCAGGAGCAAGGCAAAGGTCATAGAAAGGTCTGGGAGGAGCCGAGGGAGAGGACAGATTTATCGATCCACGCATTGTTTGATCGCTCGACACGCAAACGCATTTAACTGCTGCTGCGACACTACCAAAATAATTATAAAATGGTGGTGGTGGTGGTGGTGGTGTGGTATTGGGGATTTCAAGCTGATTTACAACACGCTTGTTTATTGAATCACAGAGCTCACACTAAAGGATGGTATAATAAACATGGTGGGTGGGGGGGGGGGGGGGGGGGTGTTTATCATTTGATGAAGATCCCCTGTTAATTCTCCCGTTCAGTAAAAGAAGGATGACGGGAAGAATGAGGGGATCTGGCAAAGTAGATGCCTGTACTAGGAGGAGGACTGGATCGATTTGGGTCTTGATTTGCGGAGGCATTCGTTATGGCTAACGCAGTTTCATTCGTTAGGGAGGTTTGAGAAGGTAATCTAGAGGCCTGAACTAACACTCGATGCAAAGAAGTCACACTTTCACGATTCAATCCAGCTAGGGCATTCGGGAGATTTGCTTTGAATGCTTCAACCACACGCAACTAAAACAAGGACAAAAGCAAAACAAAATTAGTCCGAAATCTATTAAGCTATTTAAAAACACAACCAGTTATGCTTTGAGTCACGAAACGACATGAATATACTGTACTCATTCCAATGGGTCACTTAAGACGACTCTCATGCTTTAGATGCCATAAACATGCCTTTAACAACGATAAATACGCGAGGAACGACAGTATAATCATGCGTATCATACTCACACATAAGTTCGATTCAATACTGCAGCGGCGAGCATGAGAATGACACGTGAAGAGGAAGGTTGGATATGGTCTGTCTACACGCATACATAATATAATTGCACACAAGAGGGAATAAAAACAAAATCTCTCTGTCTACGAGTACATAAAGGGACCTCTATAGAGATTGGTTGTTTGGTTACTCCTCTTTTAAAATTAGAATTGCATAGATATATAGTGAGAAAAGGAGCGGGGGAAGAAGATTTGGTCAGTTTTGTCAGTTGATTTTTACTACGTCAACGACGAATCAGAATCGGATGGTAAATCCCCCCGGGTCATAGGTGGAGGTGGTGCTGGGGTTTTCTTGGTTGATTTGCGACGACTTCCTGAAGCCGCTGATGAAGAAGATGCAGCTTTCGCTTCTATCAACGTGTCCGCGTCCAAAGACGACGTCCATGGAAGAGTCGGTGTTCTACGATCCGATTCAGGAGGCACCCATAGTGGTGCTTTCGGATTCAATTGGTCCAGTCCTTCATTTGTGAATGCATCACCACCACTTTGTGGTGCTCTTGCTCCATGCAAATCTGAACTCTCAGCGAAACTATTCACATCGTAACTCGTAGAACTCGGTTCTTCGTTTGAGACTGCTCTCCAAGAATCTCTACGTTCATGCTCTGGTACATATCTATATTCGTTCCCTTCAGGATGGTGTTGATTGTCTACTTCGTCGGGTTCTTCTCGATAGAAAGCCGGGTCATCTTCGACCAGCATTGTTGGGGTTCGATAAAATTCTCGAATATTATCCGCCATTTGGCTAACTTTGTTACTATTCTGGCTCTGTTGATTGTGGTGTTGATGTCTTTTCTGTTGCTCCTGACGTTGTTTCGCCATCGAGGCGGCTCGAACTTGACGACACTTAGCTTGACGTTGTTGATGTAAAGCCATAGCTATGTGTTGACGTTCACTTGAATTGTCCAGACTGTTTCTGAAGGCATGCACTGCCTTTAACTGAAAGGGGGTGGGTTAATACATTTGTCAGACGTCCTTAATAGGATCGTATTTCACAACATTTAAATATCGTTTTTTTTTAACTTTATGCATGCAGTTATCGACATCATTCACTGCTCTGTTAAATTCCGGAACCACGTTTTCCGATGTAAAATATTGTACATTTAACCTTTTGTTCATTGGTTAAATAGTAACCTACAGAATCATCGCGTCCCAGCTACCCTTCGACTCAACCGTTAAAGGTCATGAAATTAGTGCATGAAAGCTCAGAAATTGACAAACTTTTTTCCTTTCTGATTGAACCACAGAATCACTCGAATAAAGTACTTAATAGAATTAGTCTCAGGCAAAGAGAATACACATTGAAGCTACCTTTATGATGACCAATACATATAAGAACGAATTGACTACTACAATTACAGGAGTTAACATCGTGCCACTAAAAGGCAAAGTAAATTTGCCTTAACAGAAAAACCTAGTGCAAGCCTCTCTGGCAAACAAGTACCCCGCAGGATTCATTGATTGATCCCACTTTCGGGTTTCTATGGCTACTTTTGTGGAAAAAGTGTTGTGGAGAGCAAACTAACTTCCTCCAAGGAGACTAGCTTCCATTGCAAGGGACATACACCGTCTTACAGCTTCATTAGACCCATTAAATCAATTATTATAAATTACTATTTATTTTGCGCAATTAGAGGAACAAATTCCTGGCTCAGATAAAAGTGCAAGTGCATCGCACTGAGGGTGAAGATGAAGTGAACTGAAGGTACCAAATTTGGATTATGTGAACCATTTCGACTACATGGGCACGCCAACTATCAATGCCCTCGTCCAAATAGAATTTCCCATTAACGCTCTCTTTCTCTTCTCTGTGATTTGCACTCAGGAATAAATACTGCAACTTACTTACTGACGGCTTCCAAATGGAGAAAGACGTATTGGGCACAAACAACATCATCAATTAAAATAAAATTTAAAACTAAGAATACGAAATAATACGAGGTGATTTATGCCACGAGTTAATAAATAAGTAGTATGTGCCACATTCAAAAACCAAAGTAGACAACACCATAAGTGGATAAAATAAATAAATTGGCTCTTTTCGGCAAGAGGAAGAAGAGGAGGAGCATGCATAAAAGATAGGAAATTGATGTTTGTACGTGTGCATCAACTAAACCACCAGAACGGAAAAGGGTTGCACAAATCCAGTGTAAATCACAAACTCGACTTCAATAAATATGGTATAATCTGAACCCTCCATCTTATATCCCTCTCAAAAAAGATCAGATTTAAATTACGGATTAAAAGAAGATAAAACGAGAGTAGATTTTAATGCGTGGGCAGTGGTACAAACGATTGCAATGGATGTGCATTCTCATTGGTTAGCGTAGACATACCCTCGCACATGTGCGCTCGAGCCCTATTCACTGAAACAGCAACACGTGCGCATCAAGACGCATCATGCACAGAACGCGCATGCAGTGCGTATATATACCGAATTCGACTTGGATTTGGTCAGTAGCTGGATACCAATTTTACTGCTTTAATAATTATTCGTGATCTAGTCTTTCCCCCTATTTTGCTATTCGATGACGCTTAGCAGACAGTGTTGAATAAGGAGGCCTAATTGTGGTCCTCATTGCTCACTAGGGTTCAAATACCATTTTCATCATACCTAATTTGAATAGCATGAATTCATTCTTCCGTCTGCTTGAAATTAACAAATTACCCAATATCGAATAAAGGAGAGGTGGAGGGAGGTTGAATTTAATTCCGTAACCTAGCAACTATCGAAAGAATTGAAATTTGGAAAAAGTAGGCACCCCCTAGTAAAGCGGAAGTTGGATAAGTTTGGCTTATCAACGATGTTGCCATGACTACAGTGAACTTACAACCACAAAATTTTCTAAATCAACCCCAAATCTCCTATTCCATGGAATAATTTCGAAGTTAACAGTGCAAATTTTAAATGACTGAACAATTGCAGAATGTATTTTAGGGGAAAACGTGCGTGATCGATTAACCTGTATAATTTATCCATCTGATATTTACAGTGATAAATTACATTCAATTAAGTGAAGAATATTTTCAAAAATAGATGCAAGAAAAATCACACAATTAGTTGGACTTATTACAGTAAAATTTGGGAGACCATTAAGGGAAGATTGGACATGAATTTACCTCTATAGACTGACCAATCATTGAATTTGTCAGTTTTGTCTTCTTCAAATCTAGATTTCTAGCATTAAACTATGGTTACTAAAAGGCAGACTCCATTTTTTGCAACAAAGATATAGCAGTGAATCAAAAGAAAAACTACTCAAAGTCTATTCAGATACGAATACTATTAAACACGCTCATTTTTTAGGGATAGAGAAATTTTCCAACCTTTTCTTGCTCACTTAATTTTAGGGATAAGCAAATATTTGTAGGGTAAACCTTTAAGCCTCGCCTGCATAGTAAATCTCGCCGTCGTAAAATTTCACCCAGCGCGAGACATTTTAAATCACCGCTCTCAAACATTTTTAAATCCCACCTAATTGAAAATCGATAATCAAAAACTAAAGAATTCACTTGAAAGGCAATGAAATTTGGTTTAGTCCCATCGAGCAAAACAATCAATAATCAACACTCGAAACTCAAATAAGCTCAAACGGAAGTGCAGATTTAATGAATATTCCAAACTGCTCTCAAACTAGTTTTGGTTTGAAAATTGGTTACCCACAAGCTACCTTGTACACTCACTGAAGTGTGGTTCTATTAGGTGTCCTAAAAAGAGATTAAAATCTATGATTTGTTAGATAATTTTTTAGTTATATTGTTAAGATACAACGGGTAGTTGATTTGAGGACTACTTCCCAATAGAAGTACGCATCTTTTCCAGTTAAATCTAACTAATTTCAGAGGAATTCTGAGTGTATTAAAAAAACAACTATGCATGTGAAGCGTAGATGGCTTGATTTGGCATCATCAACATTAGAAATGTGTAAAATCTGGCATTTGAGATACATCGGCAGCGCTTTTTCCCCCACTCTCTCTTCACTTATAGGCAAAAAACACATTTGGCTTTGTGGGTTTTGCTATTTTTACCAGCCACGCATTAACTTAGCAACATCCAAACTCTCAATTCCACCTGGAGTCCTGTCTAAATGCTTCGGTTTTTCATCTCTACTCAATTTGATAGGCTTTGCTCCTTTTTGACCCGTTTTTAATCTTGGAATAACTTTTATATGTTTTGTATTCTGGAGCATAAAGAGATAGACACAAATAAATAATGCTATTTTCGCTCTTGAACGATTGCTTGGTTGATATGAATGGCTTGTTGGTTGCTGAGATTGATTGATAGGTGTTGATAGTGGGAGTGAAAAGCAGGGTCGTGAGGGGGGGGGCGGGGGCGGGCCATAAAGAAAAAAAGAGGAGAGAAACTTTTCAAGAGTGCATAGGGCATGCAAATTAAGGGGATATAAGGAGGAGAGAAAAGCAATCTGAGCTATTTCAAATTGACACCATCAGAAGTGTAGGAGGTAAGGTGAGCGGGAGGGGGGATAGAGAAACGAAATTGGGCGACATAATATATTATTTTTACACTTACTGCATTCATCTGGCAGAGCGAGTGGAATAATAGAGAGTGGCATGAAAGGATTATGAGAGTGAAAAGGAGATTAAGAGAGGTTCAATTAAATTAAGTGCTTAATTGAGGCGACTGCAATTAGATTTCATAACAAACACAACACATAGTCGATGAGGGTTATGGGGAGGGGGGATGGAGGTTGGGGGACAGTAGGTATACACACTGATAGGAATTGGATATTCATTTTGGGGGAGGGGGAGGGTGGAGGAAACAACAAACCAAGGCAGACTAGACCAGACTGCTCCCTAAGTCCGACTAATCCTACACATGCGATCACAAAGACGACAATAATCGATGGGATGGGGGCTGTGAGGGAGATCTTGTTATCGATCTGATTCATCATCTACCGATTCTTCCGGTTCTTCCTCCAGACTGCTGATCCCTCCATAGCGATTTTGAATCGCGGGACGACTCTCATCTCCCCCCTGTGAAGCGTTGATACTTTGTCGACGTGCGGCCAACACCAAGGGATGCTGCATTCCCTCGGTATTGATTTGACTTAATGTGAACCGGCGTACACGACCCATGAACTCGTCACTACGGTGATCTAAATCATGATCCCTAGTGGCCTAGATACCCCCAATCAAACTCGAATTCAAGGCATTCAAAGGGTAGGGGCAAGAAACATGGTTTAAATAAGTGAATAGGTAAGGGGGAGAAGAAACACCAACAACGTAGAGGGATTGAAGTAAGGCGTGAGATGACATGAGATCCATCCGAGAAAATTCCAGAATCGATTTGTTGATCGATTGAGCGAAACAGGAAGTCCCGTTGTAGGTAGAATGCACATTGGGAGAAATTGAAAGAAGAGAAAAAGAGGCATCGTGAGAAGAGCTTCTGGCAACTTGTATGATTTGGTGTGAATTTGGTTCACATTCAATCATCAGACATCCAAGCAACCCCTTAATCCTTCACAAATGCTACTGGCCGTTTTATCAGCATTATATAAAATTCCAATAAGGTGTGAATAGGGCTGCATGCAGGTGTATTTACTTAGTAACCGAATAACCCAATAACGTAGGATATATCAGTAGCATTTGTGAAACGGAGAGGTTACTCAAACAATTCCCAATTCATGCACCACAAACATAGCCACGAACCAATCACTATGTGCCAGTTGATGAACTTCATCTTGACCTGTTGATTGGATGCTTTGAGAGAGCTGCCTTTCACGCCAATGGGTTTTGGAGTGCACAGCAGGAGGAGCATGGAGTCATATAGACACATATAGGAGGGCCGCATGCCAAAGGGAGGTGGAGTCTTTGCTCACAAGGACACAGGGGGGAAATATGGGGGCTTGTTGTAAGATGTGTATTTGAGGTGTATTCATGTTCGCAATTGGAGTATAATCAAGGAATTACAAATTTTAAAGACGCATGGATAGCGCAAGAAAATAAACTGCACCTGAAGGAGCTCAGCGCAATTAGAACATACCTGTGTTTGTAGTCTAGACAAGCCACGAATCCAGAGGATCTGACCCGTGCTCTTCAGATCACCAGATCCAGTATCTTCAGCTCCAGATTCTTCACTCTCAGACTCGACCTCAGAATCAGAGAGTTCACTCTCCTCATCAGAGTTCAAAGGTCGAACCATTTGTGGAGCCAAAACTGTAGACACCAATCCTGCTCCAGCGCCTGGAACTCCACCACCTAATTGGTCAGGTGCTGATATTAAACCACCTTCAGGAGCCATGGCAACTTCTTGATACATGACAGATTTCCGCGCAACTGTCTTCTTCTTGCGGCGTGGCAGAATGTGCTTAGGCACAACCCAAACCGGTATTGAAATCACCAACTATTAAAACAATTTAATGAATTAAAACGGAATTATAGGAGGAGCAAGGAAGTATGGTGAAAGTGATATCATACCTGTCCCCAAATTAGAGAGCCAAGACCAAAGAAAATACACCATAACCACTGTTCAACATTCAGAGGATGTGTAGAGAAGGCATATCCGCCAAACTGTACAATGATCACTTGTAGAATAAACGTAGTTACCCAGATGCCCACAAAGAGGAGATTTCGATGCAAACCCTCAAAGACATTTCTCTGACCGTGAATCTTTCTCGCATTGAGCTCATTGAACAGCGTCATTAGGACAAAGGTGTTAAAGATAACAGTGAAGTGCTCAGTTGGACGATTTTGTCCTTGGTCCGACAGACCTCTTCCACTATCCACGTCCAGTAAAATTTCACCTGCAAAAATGAGCAGATATGCTCGGTATCATATGCAGCAAGTCTATGTAAAAAGAGGGACTATATAGCGGCCATAAGGGAACTCTGATTATGCCACTGTTACCACTACTTAAACTTCATTCAATACTTGCTAACTATCCATCACAACCTACAAAGCTTAAATTAGATAATGGGATTTAATGTGTTAATGGTGGCGTAAAATTACCCGCGAAAATTAGGTAGAAGATGACGGTGAGTTGGTAAATTGCTTGGCCACCGATGGCTTTGATCATGGGCCGACCGATAATGGGTTTGGTACGACCGTAAGGCGCTCGTTCAAGGAGTTCTTCTGAAGGAGTTTCGGTGGCTAGGGCCAAGGAGGCCAATGTGTCCATAATCAAGTTCACCCAGAGCATCTGGACGGCTTTAAGGGGACTGTCCTAGATGATAAGAAAATGAAAAGCTGCCTAAACAAACCTTTTATCAAGCGTATTCAACAAAAATTTATAAACATATTCCATAGACCTCTGTAACAAGCGAATTTGAAGATATACTCCAAAATTCGACGAATCCCACAGACTTCGGTAGTTTTAGTTGTTATTCTTAAATTCATCTTCAATGCAAGAGATATCAAATTGTCATCTACCAGAATGTCATTTACAACTTTATGTATTATGAGACAAACAAGATAGAGAGGAAAGCGCCAATTCAGAATAAGCGAAGTAAGCGCTCAAAGCGACATAACGCAAGTTCTCCAATCAAAATTATATGAGTAACGGACTTGACCAAATTCCAACTCGCACAGTTTTTAAGACCTATAGTAACTATATAGATTAATATAGTTAAGTATATTATTTTAGACTATTATTAATGTAAATGTAGATCCTTTCACAAGCATTGGATAGTGAATGGAAAATATACCTTTAAGACAATGTGATCCCGACAATGAAAATGGGAATTCTAGCGTGGGTTTAATTCACCAGGAATAAGAAGAAATATTAAGGACAATACCGAAAAGCATTCGGATTTTTCTCGACCGAAAAAAATACATTTTTAAAGGCTCCTCCTCTTTAGTGAAAAAGGGAAACTGAACGATATTAAATATTTCTTACCTAGGGCTACTAAGTGAAAAGATTAACATAACATTAATGAGGGTTAACTGATGACTATCATATAAGCTATTAAAAGGCTTATTTACTCAGGACGCAGGACATATCCAGTTTTATCAGCCTGTCAACAAGCTCAAAGTAGAACGGACATGAAGCGAACTACTACGGAAATGTTGGAAATACTAACTTGAGGCAGAATTCAAATAAAGTAAGGCTTTATTACACTGACCTCACCGCTCCCACCTACTTTCTATTCCATGCGATTAAATACTATCAGGTGATAAAAATTTGCATTATACTTGTCAATAGACGTAGCCAGAAGAGTGGATGGTCTTTTGTTTCCCAACATAGATCAAGAACACCAACTAAAACTGTTTTACGGAGTGGTCAAAACGAAAATGACGTAGTGAGTTGTGTATCGAAGTTCATGGTGACCACTTTCAACACTTGTTATGAACTATTGGATGTTCAGAATACAGTCATTCGTAATATGCTGTATTTCTTACTTTTAAGTAAAAATATGATATGAGTTTACTTAACTGTGTACACACGAGACCTCTCTTATTTTTGCCGTCTGGGCGAAAGAACTAGAGATTAGGTTGCGACAAGACTTCCCAAAATCACAGTTGTGAGAGCTATTAAGTCTACTTTGCAATGATCAATTTGAACACATAAATTACGCGATATTATCTACCAATCGGGGCGTTTTGGGCACCAGGATAAAATAGCCGGCGATCTGAGTTGGACAATTAATCTCCCCCCCCCCACCCCGAAAGTCTAAATCATAAATCAAAGTTCGGCAGCACGTTGTTGAAAGTGTAAGCAAAAAATTAAGCCAATTCGAAAGAAATGAAAGAAAAAGCATTAGCAGGAAAGTTAAAAGTTTTTTTCTGCATGAATTGAGGATTAAAGGAGAGATTAAGTAGGAATGCAGAAACTTCTTTCCACGAAAACAGTACCCATTATAAACAGATGTTGCTTATTATTGAGAAGGTGTTATGTCGGTGATTCTTCCGATGTAATTAGGACCTATTTACTTTCATAATATTGGTATTTACCATGAGAAGCCGCCTAATATAAGTTATTCCACTTCCAGCCGACATTTTGTCGTGAAAACATTACCAGGATAGGAATGAATCAGTTTCGATCGGGCGAAATAGGATGTAATTAAATGAATAACTATGACCACTACCAGATTCTTCCAATACAATTCTAGAAATGACGGAAGCATGGCTGCAAAAGTTGGAACCATCTTAGGCTTAAAATGCTTTTCCAAAAATATGAGCGCTAACATTACGCTATTACCTTCTCAACGACGCATTGCCATTATTCCATGACTATAAGAAGTAGAGAGGAGTTAGTTGATTTAACTGATCACCTAGTATTTGAATTCAAATACCACTGAGACAGAAGGATTTAAGGCTTTGATATTGAATTTACAGGGGTGTGCGATTGGTTTACCTCCATGTGGTTCAAACTGGGCAACGTATACTCATACGGCAAAAAAGTCATTTAACCGACAGTTGACTTCTGACTTCAAACTGTCATCACCCCACTATATGTCATATTCGACTACTTCAACAGTACTCTTCAGACCTTTTCTCTGACTTAGTGTCTGTCCCTTTTACATCTGCGAATCACTCTACTGTTTACCCTCTCCACTTTTTCTCACTTTGATGTTCTTCCCCTCTGTGAAGACCGAAGTCAGCTAAAGGGCTAATGATAACTATCAAAACGCCTGCCATTTGATGTAAATAAATAAATAAATAAGTGAATGAACAATGTAGGGGTTACGTCAAAACTATTTATTTCTTCCACCTTCAACATGATTAAGAGAGAGGAGGGCAAGTTGAAGTAGTTTTCGATAACAAAGTTGAAAATTTTTTCAATACCTCTCTTTGTGAACAAACTCTAATTGAAAGCCCCTATTTCTCTATTACATGCTGATCAGTACCAAACGTAAATC